AAGCTGACGGGTCATGGCAACTGCTTTCAAGGCATGTCTCAAACTCGCTTCCTGAGTGAATTGGCCAAAACAATCCCAAACTGTTTGTTTACTACAAAAATGGCCTTCCCCAAAAAAGCGGAAGGGCCGGTAAGGGGGCCGGTGACAAAAAGAACACCCTAATCACAACGCCACCGACGACTTTGGTCGCTGATTGTGAGACATGCCTTGTGCAATCTCTTGTGCTTTTCCAATTTGGGCCCATAGTGTGGTCGTCTTAAAGTAACTTTGCCGACACGATAGCAGGAGAGGAATTTCAGCCTGGCTTTCGGGAGGAACACCTAAGGCCCCCCGCACCCCTGGAACCTTCGTAGACGGAGTTCTTAGAAGGGTTCGGAACCGTTCGGAACTGTTCTTAGAACCTTTCTTGCTTTATTTGGGAAGGGGAGCCTAGGGGGAAACAATGTTTGATTTTCAACATCGAACGAGCCACGCTTTTCGGTTTTAAAGAAGCAGCTAAGCAGTGTTTCCATGTTCAGTGCCCCAATGCAAAGCAGGCAAACAGTGGTCGCTCATTTCAGGCAGGAAAGCTACCCAGCTAACAAAGCGGTTCAAGAAAGCCATGGGTCCATGGGTCCGGTGCGGGGACCGCCTTGTCTCACATGCATGCGATCCACGTTGCCTCGGAAGTGCCAATGAAGCTGAGACAATGGCACACTTGACTATGAAACCCCGCAAGCGCAACTTAGCATTCCACCGCCACGCGGGTTGCAAAACTACTCAGCTGCCCACCTTTTTGGACCTTGCCTAAAACTGGCTGCCAAAAAGAGGGTTCCTTACGGGATAATCCAAAAACCACCTTACAAGGGCTGCTAAATCAACTATCCTTGGGACCGGGGGAGAGCTGAAATCCCCATTTGTCCGGCAATGCCGGAGGTGAAGCTTAAAGGATCTTAAAGGTGAAAGGTTGCTGTGGCGAGAATTGAGCCTTACATGCGATTTTTTTGCGGCGGCATGGGTGCCACATAGCCAGTCCGCGCCTCGTCCAAGCACGGCCCGAAGTGCAAGCACTGATGGCCTGGCAATTTGCTTCCAGCTCGAGAGGAAAGGCGCTGACTGCCAATTGGTGGGGGGGGCTAAGCTTGGGTGTATGGGTGCAGTACCATCATTGTTCGTTTTCTTCTTCTTTTTTTGGGGGGGGAGCCTACTCGCCTGGTAATTAAGCTGAAAAAGCGATCGTGGCGAGCGGAATCCCCTGACCAACTCGCCGTTTTAGGCTATCTAGCTTGCGGTCATATCCAGCCACACCCCGAACCCCTCACGTTTTATTCAATCCAAGTTACCACTATAGTAGGTAACCACCCACGCTCCTTTTAGTTTGAGAAAATTGATTTCCTCAGCCAGGGCAGTGGAACGGGCGCAGGTGCTCCAGAACATTGCTTTTGAAGGTGCCCTCAGCTTGCCCCACCGAGAGAAGTTGGGACCCAAAGTCCAAAGCGTGGCGATGGTGGATGTTGTAACGGAAACAGCCCCCTTTTCCGTAATTTACTTGGATTTGGGGTTCAGGGTGCGGTTGGGTTACTTGCAATGTTTAGGGCACTGGAGCCGGTATGGATGCGACATGCGGGGCATTCAACGACAAAGCCTTGGGAGCTTTTCCGACACTGGCTGGACCTGAGAGCAACTGGACAGCCTGTCTGATGGAAATACAAACGCCTGCACCAAACGCGGACATCCCACTGGAGAGAATGGTCATTGCTGGTGAATTGTTCTCATAGTTGACCAAACTTGTTCAGAGAAGTAGGTGCCACCTGCACCCCCGAAGAAAGTCCTACCACGCGTTGGCAAAACCACTTCGACATTGCGGCGATGGTGGGAGTCAAGGGTGCCGATGGCAGAGAGGGGACTTCTCCCTGAATCAAGACATCCGCCCATGTTCAGGCACGAGGACTCATGGCGAATGTGGGATATGCAAACAAACTAATCTCTTGTGGCTTGTGGGTGCCAAATCCATCACCTGTTGGTGCCCTTCTGTGAAAATAACAAGTAGCCATTTACAGAGTTGAGGATGCATCCAGAAATTTCGCCTTCGCCTGTGCACGGGAATCCTCTGAATCATGTGGCTGGTCGAGGTGACTTTTTCTCTGGCCCCTCTGCACAAAGTTCAACTTTTTGTGGGTCTTAGTCGAAAAATCCGACCTGTTTCAACCAACAAGTTCTAAGTTTCAAGGATTCATTACCAAGTAGGAACAAAATGCCACAAAGCTTTGGGTCAAGGGAACTCTCCAGTCTATGTCCGGCCATGTCCGCCCAATCCTGGCGCCCGGGCCGTGCTTTGGGCTGAGGCGTCCAGTTGCAGCAGCTTTCGGTCCAAGGACTCGAGGGGAACTCTTGGAGCAGAGTCCCACAGACCCAGCTGCAACCCGTCACCCCAAGGGCTGGAGAAAACAAACACCTTCCCCTAGCATGGGGTTGACCAAGCAAGAGTCTTGAAAACGGGAAAAAAAACGAGAAAAAGCCAAAAACAAAAACGAGGAACTTGGGCTTGGGGCTGACCATTGGTGAAAAAAAAAGAGCTTCGGCCGAAGCCTTGGTGGCTTGGAGAAGTCCAGGGTTTTGGGTGGAACATTCCGGAACAAAACCGGGGGGGACCTACCGTCCAAACCGGAAAAGTCCCAAGCAGAACCCAAGGAAGCCCGCTGATGTTCCACATGACCCCCGATTCACTAACCCCTGACTACAAAATGAGCCGACATTTTACAAAATAACATTGAGCCGGCATGGAAAAGCTGGAGCTCGAAAAGGCCGATTTTAGAAAGTGAGTGCTTACTCATGTGCTACTTGATACATGTCTTATGCTTGGTGCAAGGTTCACCCTGGGTAGACGTCCAAGTGATGTCGACCCTGATGAATCCACCTGGCGAATCGTTAGGCTGCCTTGCAGCCCCAAACAATTACAATTGAAAAAAGACAAAACAGTTCCCCTCCAAGCATGGGACGCCCCGGATATTTAACAGAACAAGACAAACAACATCTAACAGCCAACCTTTGTTGGGGGGCTGCTCCCAAATAAACCACCATTTGGGTGAGGTCGTATGAGGTCGTAAAAACTCACCCAGAACCTTGTAAAAACACAAAAGCGCATCCTGCGTCAACCTGCGGCCATGTTATCATGGACCGCACCTATTTCTCGGCCGCCGGGCTGAGACCAGCTGCAAGCTCACAGCCCAATACCTCCCGACGAAAGGGCCACGTGCTCACGGTTTGGGTGCGTTGCGGACATATTGTCTGAAAAACCGGGACCTGCTAGGTACGGTTTTTGCCCTGCCACTAGCTGTGAGTCAGGTGTCCTAAAGGCCCGGAACTCGGTTTTGGTACTTCAAGGGAGTGCCCAGAAAAAGGAAATCCAGAACGAGGATTGAGGGTGAATGTTGAACCCAGATTGCCAAAGGCAATCTAAAGAAAATCAGATGAGCCCTGGCTGACTTTGCTGTGCCCAAGGCAAAGTAAAGATAGTTCATCATACAATCCAGTCGGCAAACCGTCCTCTAAAACCACTAATCTGGGGACATTCTACCTGGCATGAGTAGGTAGCCCTATGGTATACCCCTGGTGAGTGAGTATGGTTCCGATAGCTTTTACTCACCAACTTGATTTGGGCTGTGGTGTGCAGGGGCATCTATCGGGCGGGTAGCTGGGACATAGCAACAGGTATGTCAAAATAGGGGGACTTTAAAACGGATCTTAGTTTTCCTCTTGGCCTCCCTTTGGGCCAACGGGGAAAAGGTACCCAAAACACACACGATAAAGAAACCACTAACACGGAACAAAGTTCCAGCTGACACGGCCAATCGAAAGTACAGGCGGGGTGTCAAGTTAGCATCGCTGCTCAAGCTGACGGCTAGCCTTAATAGTTCTATAAGGAACTCAAAGTAAGAGTGTTCGCATGTCACTACATAACCTTCAGCAAAGTCCAGCAGAAACACAAAACGCTTAAAACACAGGAATACACTTCACGATGTCGCCCGACCAGCACATTCTAAGGAAGAATGACCACCTTCCTCAAAAGTCACAGTCTATGACAACCAATTAAGCCCGACTGGCCCACAGTCTCGGCCGCTTCAGATGGAGAGCGACGTTTTGCTAGCGGGTCCCTCAGACTCAATGACGTTACTTGCAAGTGCTAAGGGCAACGTCCACTTCACAATGACCTGCAGATCAGTGGACTCCCATTTAATTTCACCAAGCCCATGGAACATGTTTTGAATTGAAGAGGCGGTCAAAGGGAAGTTTGATCCTACTCTTGCCAGCCATCAACCCCTCAAGACCCTCAAACTAGGACTTGAGCCCCTCCACGGTCCAAACATATATGCTTTAATCTGTTTTAGCGCGTTCAATCAAGAGAAACGCGCTCTTGAGCACATGGCCAAAAGCAAGGCCCGGTTTAGGGCGTCCCTTGCTTCCAATTGCTTAAGTAGCCTCGAACAACTAAACATTAGTGATAGCTTCCCCTTGAAAACCAACAAGGGAAATCACGAACAAAAACAACTAGGTCCTCCAGTAGAGAGGTTAGAATAAAAATACATTCTTTTTCCGTAGTCGATTTTAGTTCTGGAACCCTCCCAACCAAAAAAGGGGGTGAGAAAGGGCACAACTGGGGGACCTAGGCAACACATGCTTCCGCAAACGGAAGCTTCGTTTCCCTTTCGGCCCACTGCGCTTTGCCGCAGCCATCTGCTGTGCTGCTCCAGGCCTCGGCGAGCAGCGAAGAACCCCGAGCCAAGGCGCAGGCCGCAGCCCGGTGTTTGAAGGGTTGGATTGAAAGGTTCCCCCGGCTAACCTTGAATCAAACAACTCTTGAAACCAACCAACCACCCCAAAAAACGCAAACATCAAGAAAGGGTCCCCCAACTTTGACACATACACATAAACAAATGTGGGCAGCCTAGGCGTGGTACCCAACCACTCCGTGGTCGATTCACCACATGCACTTTGCGCAAATGATTTTGGAACGACTCCATGCAAGATTTGGGCCGGCCTTCGACTCACCGACTGACCACCCGACCGACTTGCACATGAAGTAAACCACGAGGTGCGGGGGGGTGAAAGTGAGGACGGCTGCTAGGAAAGCTTTGCTAGGGGCTTCAGCCACCATGTGGATGCATCAAACCCCACAAAACCCAACACGGGCAGCGCTGAGATTCCGTGGCTGTTCATGGCATGGACTCTCAGCCAAAATCTGTTCAAAGATCGGGCTCCTCCGACCTCTCGGAAAAGCCTCTGCTCTTCCAAGATCGATCGGTGCGACATCCGATGTTGCCCGGGCTCTGGACTGTCGTCCGAGCCCTGTCAAGATACTGGGAACTTGGGTGCTACCCACAAGGGAACCACTGCAGAAAGACCAAAAAAGAACAACGAGCAAGCAATCGACAAACACATGTAGCGGTTTTGGTCTACATTGGGCCCCTTCAGCCAAAGCCTCTCCAAGGCCCGGCTTAGCCTTGACGGTTCAGAATCTGCACCGCCAGATTTGCGGCTTTCTGGCCTGACAAAAGCATGGCGCCGAACGTGGGGCCCATCCTGTTGCACCCGCGGGCCTCTGAAACTTCCATGCCTGCAAAAATCAGCCCAGGTACCACTTCACTGGTCATCTGCACCACTGCATCTTCCGCAGTGTTCATGTCCAAGGCGCCCATTCCTGGTAGTCCGGCTGGAAGCGCGCCAAGCGATTCAAGACGCTTGGCAGAACTGGCCCCCATGGGCCCGTCGTGCCCAGTTGCGGTCACGACCACCTTGGCCTCCATGACTTGTGGGTCCATGCAGGATTGGGTGTCATGGTTCTGGGTGACCAGGGACCAATTTGTGACCACGCCCCGCACTCCCACCTTGTCACCCTCCTGTTTCACAAGCAAATCCTCCACTGCCACAGCGTTGAACAGCTTGATATTGGGTGCAATCAGCGTCTTGCGAAGAACGGAGGCCGTGAAGAGTGCGGCATGCTTCACCACCACATAGTCGCCCTTGTCATCATAAGGCACTTCTAGCTCGTCCAGGAACTCGTGAGCAGGCTTCCGAACCACCATAGAACTCATCAGCTGGCCACCCAGCCAGCAGCCACCACCCGGGGCAACATTCTGCTCCAGGATTGCAACCTTGATGTGCGGATGCTTGGTGAGCTCATAGGCACACGAAAGCCCGGCAGAACCAGCCCCCACGATCACCACATCCGTCTCCGCATACTCCATCATCTCCGACATGTAGCGCGACGTCATCTCGCGGCTCACAGTGCTCTCGCGGATGGGTGTGAATTGCATGGAGTCAAAGTGGGCCAACTTGCCGGCCACGTAGGCAGCCGGATCCGAGGGCACCGCAGACACCAAAGCAGACTTGGCGCGACAACCCAGAGAAGCGCGCTGTGCACGGCACAGCATGCCTCCAAATCGTCCAGCCAAGGAGTTCATGAGGAGCAGGTCGGCCAAATCCCTGCGCAGGCGTTACCCTGATCAGGTTCGAACGGTTTATTCTCAGCAGTGCTGTCTCTCAGCACGCACCCGCAAGGCCTACCTTGATCTTAAACCTAACGGACAATAATGATGAGCGATGAAATCCAACGTGCTCGTCGCAGCGTGTCGCACAAGTTACAATGCGCATGCAAATTCTTGACAGCACAGCTACGGCGCGGCCACATGCATTGCAAGCCATTTTCAAACCTTACTTCGCATCAGCACAGGCGCGCCTTGGCTCTATTTGCTTCAAAAGTGGGCAATCTGTACAAATACTGGAACTACGCGGAGGACAACCCGCATGCCAAAGCCTCTCCAAGGCCCGGCTTAGCCTTGACGGTTCAGAATCTGCACCGCCAGATTTGCGGCTTTCTGGCCTGACAAAAGCATGGCGCCGAACGTGGGGCCCATCCTGTTGCACCCGCGGGCCTCTGAAACTTCCATGCCTGCAAAAATCAGCCCAGGTACCACTTCACTGGTCATCTGCACCACTGCATCTTCCGCAGTGTTCATGTCCAAGGCGCCCATTCCTGGTAGTCCGGCTGGAAGCGCGCCAAGCGATTCAAGACGCTTGGCAGAACTGGCCCCCATGGGCCCGTCATGCCCAGTTGCGGTCACGACCACCTTGGCCTCCATGACTTGTGGGTCCATGCAGGATTGGGTGTCATGGTTCTGGGTGACCAGGGACCAATTTGTGACGACGCCCCGCACTCCCACCTTGTCACCCTCCTGTTTCACAAGCAAATCCTCCACTGCCACAGCGTTGAACAGCTTGACATTGGGTGCAATCAACGTTTTGCGAAGCACGGAGGCCGTGAAGAGTGCGGCATGCTTCACCACCACATAGTCGCCCTTGTCATCATAAGGCACTTCTAGCTCGTCCAGGAACTCGTGAGCAGGCTTCCGAACCACCATAGAACTCATCAGCTGGCCACCCAGCCAGCAGCCACCACCCGGGGCAACATTCTGCTCCAGGATTGCAACCTTGATGTGCGGATGCTTGGTGAGCTCATAGGCACACGAAAGCCCGGCAGAACCAGCCCCCACGATCACCACATCCGTCTCCGCATACTCCATCATCTCCGACATGTAGCGCGACGTCATCTCGCGGCTCACAGTGCTCTCGCGGATGGGTGTGAATTGCATGGAGTCAAAGTGGGCCAACTTGCCGGCCACGTAGGCAGCCGGATCCGAGGGCACCGCAGACACCAAAGCAGACTTGGCGCGACAACCCAGAGAAGCGCGCTGTGCACGGCACAGCATGCCTCCAAATCGTCCAGCCAAGGAGTTCATGAGGAGCAGGTCGGCCAAATCCCTGCGCAGGCGTTACCCTGATCAGGTTCGAACGGTTTATTCTCAGCAGTGCTGTCTCTCAGCACGCACCCGCAAGGCCTACCTTGATCTTAAACCTAACGGACAATAATGATGAGCGATGAAATCCAACGTGCGTGTCGCAGCGTGTCGCACAAGTCGCAATGCGCATGCAATTTCTTGACAGCACAGCTACGGCGCGGACACATGCATTGCAAGCCATTTTCAAACCTTACTTCGCATCAGCACAGGCGCGCCTTGGCTCTATTTGCTTCAAAAGTGGGCAATCTGTACAATTTCTGGAACTACGCGGAGGACAACCCGCATGCCAAAGCCTCTCCAAGGCCCGGTTTAGCCTTGACGGTTCAGAATCTGCACCGCCAGATTTGCGGCTTTCTGGCCTGACAAAAGCATGGCGCCGAACGTGGGGCCCATCCTGTTGCACCCGCGGGCCTCTGAAACTTCCATGCCTGCAAAAATCAGCCCAGGTACCACTTCACTGGTCATCTGCACCACTGCATCTTGCGCAGTGTTCATGTCCAAGGTACCCATTCCTGGTAGTCCGGCTGGAAGCGCGCCAAGCGATTCAAGACGCTTGGCAGAACTGGCCCCCATGGACCCGTCGTGCCCAGTTGCGGTCACGACCACCTTGGCCTCCATGACTTGTGGGTCCATGCAGGATTGGGTGTCATGGTTCTGGGTGACCAGGGACCAATTTGTGACGACGCCCCGCACTCCCACCTTGTCACCCTCCTGTTTCACAAGCAAATCCTCCACTGCCACAGCGTTGAACAGCTTGACATTGGGTGCAATCAACGTCTTGCGAAGCACGGAGGACGTGAAGAGTGCGGCATGCTTCACCACCACATAGTCGCCCTTGTCATCATAAGGCACTTCTAGCTCGTCCAGGAACTCGTGAGCAGGCTTCCGAACCACCATAGAACTCATCAGCTGGCCACCCAGCCAGCAGCCACGGGGCAACATTCTGCTCCAGGATTGCAACCTTGATGTGCGGATGCTTGGTGAGCTCATAGGCACACGAAAGCCCGGCAGAACCAGCCCCCACGATCACCACATCGACTCCGCATACTCGATCATCTCCGACATGTAGCGCGACGTCATCTCGCGGCTCACAGTGCTCTCGCGGATGGGCGTGAACTGCATGGAGTCAAAGTGGGCCAACTTGCCGGCCACGTAGGCAGCCGGATCCGAGGGCACCGCAGACACCAAAGCAGACTTGGCGCGACAACCCAGAGAAGCGCGCTGTGCACGGCACAGCATGCCTCCAAATCGTCCAGCCAAGGAGTTCATGAGGAGCAGGTCGGCCAAATCCCTGCGCAGGCGTTACCCTGATCAGGTTCGAACGGTTTACTCTCAGCAGTGCTGTCTCTCAGCACGCACCCGCAAGGCTTACCTTGATCCAAGACTGCAGGCAGCACGCTGTCCGCCAAGGAAGCTCAGTCTTCTCTCGCACCGAGTCCTGAGGCCAACGCTGCAACATTGGCCGGCCTGGCAAGGTAGACATGTGAGCAGGAATGCCGGGAATGCCAGATCAACCACCGCTTCCCATGCACAACGGCCACTGGGAACACAGGATCTGTCATCACTGTTGTCGTCGAATGTGCGCAAACTGAAACAACATGATACCAAGTAACAGTTGCGTTCCAGGCTTGACACTTGCCCATTTACCAAAAGGACGCTGCTCCAAACCAGCCGGACAAAAAAAAAGAAGAGAAGGACCCTCGTCAAGGCCTCAATCCTTCCCCCCCTCCCTCACTGCCCCAAGGCCTGGTGCACAAGAGCATCAAAGAGCTCCTGGCATGGAAATATTCACCTCAACCCTTGTTATGTCAGCAAATAGCACTGTTCTTGCCTTCGCAGCCACCCTACCAAGAGAATGAACTAATCCTGAGCACGCCCGAGCACCGTCGTACGGAACGACCATTCACCTCCCTTAAAGGGCTGCAGCACGACCCAAAAGGTGCCAACTGCATAAAGCACGTGAAAAACCAGGAACTCCCAAACATCTGGGTTTCAGCTTGGGCGAACAAAGCGCCCTCCGACAGCCGAATTGATTTTAAAAAGAACAATCAAAGCTCCGCAAACACGAGAAACCAGTTGAATTCGAGCCTCCATGCCAGGCTGGTAGAGCATGCAGTGGTCGCGGCGCTCCCTCAGCCACCAAAGAGCCCGTGACCATAGTGACGCTGAGCATAGGTCTTGGCGCTTTCAATTTTTGGATTGGTGGTTTGGACTGGTTTCGATTGGTTTTGACTGGTTTGAATTGGTTTGAATGAGTGACTCGCGATGCAGATCTGGAGTTGACCCCTGAGTTTCTGTTGAAACCGAATGGGGAAGGTCCCCCCAACCTCCAAACAACCAACCCACGCAAGAAAAAGGGTCCGAAACAATTTCCAGGGAAGCCAAGATTTGTCTAACATACACTTACCCCTTAAAACTCCAAGCCCTGGGGATGTTAATCTTTTACAGACATATAGCCCATGTTACCCAAAAAGTTGAAAAGTTGTGTTTTGAAGAGGTAAGTACACTGAAACATATGGCTGCTTCTCAAAAAAGGAGTGGCCCACCGGGTAGGGTGTTTCCTGTTGGTCTCGATGTTAAACCATCCAACAAGGAGCCCCCCCTGTTCTAGCAAAGACCCACATTGGCATTCAACCTGAAACAACATCTCAAACCCATGAAACCTGAGTTGCACAATATGCCAAAGAAACGTCACCTGCTTTAATGTGCCAATGGACAAACATATGGCATATACCAGTCATGACCACTTCCTCTGCCAGCCAGGACCATTGCCCCAAACGGGGAACAGCATGAGCGCTCAAAAGCACTTGCTCCTCCAAGAGCACATTGGAAAATCATCCACGTGCGGCTGCGATAGCCTCGTTTTCCATGTCCACTACCTGGACTCGACACGAAACCAGCTGAAAGCTGGGCCACGGGCACTGGGGCTGCTCCAGGGCGATCCTGCCTGCGCGTTTCTTTTGGGGCTCGAGGAGGGAACCCACTTGAGTGGATGGGCCACAAGTGCCTGGTCCAACCAAAAGGTGAAAACAAGTTTACAGGTTCGTGGGCAAACAATGTCTGTTTATACTGGGGGGAGGGGGCATCCAGAGGTCAATTATACCTTTTATGGCATACTCGGAGACCCTTTCTTTGAGGTGGCAAGGACCCATCCAATCTCCCTGCACTACTTCCCCAACAAAACTGACATTCAAATCGGAAGAGGACAGGCGTAGCATGGAACCCCGCAAACTCCTGGCATAGGCAAACCACCTAGTTGATGGACCGCATTGTCTGACAACCTGACACCTGCCCTGCACAAAGGGGCCCCTGAAGCACGGGATTCTGGGGAATGTGGACCCGAATCAATAAGCTCGACCTATTCATAGGGGGTTTCCCCCTCATTTCATCAACCAGCGGTTTCATCGGGGCTATGGACGGCAAATGGATAGCACAAATCGGAAGAATCACGTTGCGGGCCTGCTGATTATTCCCCTACAAAGCTTCACTCAAGGAATCAACTTGGAGCTGTCCCGGCTGCGCATGGACCAAATCCTGCACCAGCAGGTAGGGCGTCTATCCTAGTATTGGGGTTCCTCCATCCCAATGTCCATCCACAGTGGGGCCAGCCCCGAAAGGAGTGGCATCAACAACACGCCACATTCACACACTTTGTGCACGTTTGAGGCCAAAGCTGAGCGCTTTGCGCCCGTGCGAAAACATAGGACTTGTCTCCCCCCCTGCCTTGGGCTGCACTACGCACCAAAGACAAGCCGGCGAACCACCTGAGCACCCCACGTCCCTCTCATAGCATCCAACGTCCCACCCTTCCCTGTCTTGTTTTGGGGACATGGCCGACTGCGGAGGTTTGGGGGTCAACATGTTACCATCAATAGACAGGGCAAGTCGACAGCCTTGGTCTGAACTCTAACTTGAACATGGACCACTCTCTCACCCGGCTTGTGTAAGGCTCGCCTAGTTGTGCAAATCGCTGGCTGCTTGGCTCAAAGGCTTCCATTGACAAATCTGCCCTAGGCTCCGTGTTCTGTCCAGCCGCCCGAGCGCCACAATGATGGCTACTGTAGTCACAATAAACGTCACAGCCTCCTTCATATTCAAGTGGAACCCCAAATAACTTATGTTTATTTGTTGAGTATGTATGTTGTATGTTGGGTTGCTTGGGGAGGGTTCCATACTTAGTATCGGGGGGGGGGGAATCCCAAAGCAACCCCTTAAAATCCCTTTAACACTGTCATCCCAGGAATCATCTGGGTGTGATTGTTTAGAGGGTACGTGACACCGCGACATGGCACGGATCTTGTTGCGGAGGTATGTGACGGAGTCCTTCTAATGCAGCTATACCCGGGGGGTTCGGGGGCCTTAAAAAGAAAGGCCTTTAGGAAGCGGCCGTGAAATGTGGGGAACGTCCTTTGTTTGCAAGCTAATTGGATTGACCGTTTTGCGTTGGCCGCATTAGTAGCCACATGGCTTTGCAGTGCTTGTGGCTGAAACGCACGCTTTCCAAAGCTTCGCGTAAACCATGTAGACATGTTGAAGCTGTTCAATGCTCAAGGTCTTCAACTTTGTGGGATTTCTAGAGACGTTGATCACGGGCTTAGCAATGGGAAATCGACAAGGGAAAAGCGTAAACATACCGTGAAATGGCGTGAACGCCTTTCTTTTGCAGTGAAAAACCGTGACACGCCGTAAAATTTGGCTGGCGTTGTTTGCTGCTGGGTTTGAAAAGGTCCTGCTGAATGGATGTTTCGGGAAGACCATGATTGTTCCATTGATGATGCAGACATGTGGTGCTTTGACGTTGAGGCCTTCGCAAGCCTAGCTTGGTGTGGAAAAGGCTTGTTGCTGACGATGTAAAGTTGGAATTCGACCCGTGCCTCCATCCCCCAGCTAGTCAAACAAAGGATGTTCATGTAACGGCCTTTGTTTTAAAAGCCTTTTACCCCCCAAGGTATACATAAAGGAAACAGTGCTTGACGCAGCTCCAGCTCGAAAGTTCCAACAGCATCCGAATGTAACGAACAACAAAGCGCATTTGCGCAGCTCCAGCTCTAAAGTCGCAAGTTTCAGTACAAGTGCAGTGTACGCAAAGCACACCACAGTTCGAAAGTTGAACAGGCATGTTCAGCAATGCACTTCGCATAGGACATCAGAGTCTGGGTAATCATTGGGGTATGCAACGAGATGGCATGCAACCCGCGAGGCGTTTCTGCTTATGTGAGGTATGTGGCGAAGGTATGTAACGAGGGTTTATGTAACCAGCCAGCAGGTACAGAGGGTACGTGGCGGGCCATGTGTAGAATGTCCGCCGCGGCTGTTACAGGCCCCTCAGAAATCGGACTGCGAATCTCGGGAACGGATGCTTGTCAAACAGCTCAGCTCTACTTCCGCGGTTTTTTCCCTTGCCTGAGTTCTCAGACGCATGGGAAAAAAGGCATCCTTTGTTGGTTGCTTGAGTTTAGAGGGGAACCCTTTTTCACACCAAACATGACTTGAACTCCTGTCCATCCCCGAAAAAAGGCCCAAAAAAGGCGGAATCCACTGGTTGCAACTGGGCAACTGGGTCCAAACGCAAAGCATCAATCGCGCCAGGGCCCCGGGCCTCTGCGCCAGGCCCTGGGCTGAGCGGAAGGTCGTGTCAACTTCTCTTGGCCCGAGGGGCCAAACCAACGGGGCGTGTCCTTTTTCGCGGGCGCCGTGTTTTTTGTTTGAAGGGAAACCCGGAAGAACCCAGTCATTTTGCGGGGAAGGGGGAGCTTTAAAAAAAAGACACACCCACATGTTTTCAGATTCTGGTTCATATTGAGTCAACCCTTAAACCTAAAACACGTGTGCAAGAGATGCTGGCCTGGAACGGAATTAGTCAGAGAAAGCGACAAGCCCTTCCGGCTCAATCCTCTTGCATCTTCACAAGGGCAGGAATACTCTGATATAGGATGTGTCTTGTTTAAGGAACCCCCTTCTGGTTGCTTTGATGGAAGGCCAAAAGGACAACCGCCTGATTTGGTAAATGAGTTTTTATGCACTCATTTATCTTGTTTCATGTTTTCCTATGTTTTGTCTTTTTTTTTGGGATTCCCCAATCCAACACAAACTTATTACACAACATCCGGTCCAGCTGGAAACATGCCATGGGTTCATGTGGTGGTACAGGACAAGTTGTCGGAGCCCACCGCACCTTGGGGCTTTAAAGTCGCGACCCCCAGCGAAGTCGCTATGGTTTGCCCAGAAAACGCCGGCATCCCATAAGGGCCAAGCGGGGAACGGGCGTTTACCTTGAGAGAATCAATGAGGGCGACTGAAATTCCCAAGTTGGGATTTGGTAGCTTCCCCTTAAGCAATGTTTTCTACATGGCGCGTACACACAAAAAAAGAACCACTTGCTGCACCAAGGGGATCCTCGAAGCTGACAGAACTCGGATTGCAGATCCCTCCGCGAAACATGGAACCCCTTTCAGTACAGGTTGAATTCACTAGTGGGGAAGTGACTGAGTGCACAAGATCAGGAATCCCGGCATTCATTGACGCACTGCCTGGGTGGATTTGCACCTGTTTGGTCAAAAAGTGTGAAGCCCGAGAACGCGGGACATCTGAGCAAACCCAGGCACCTCGACATGCCGGGGCTTCAAGATGGAACATATCCATGACTTGATCACTTTACAGGGGCTTCCTTGGTAACGGAAACTAATGAGAGGTTTCGCCCGAGACCTCCCCAATCAAATAAAGCTGAAGGTAACATTACTCTTTTCCGCAGTTAACACTATTGCAGAAACCCCCCATTGATCGCCAAGAAAGGTGGGGTCTGAGCACTTGGGGTTGCATGGTATTGCAGAAGCTGGGAACATACTAACTAACCTTGGTTGACGTTGGAAGGGGAGCAAAAACATGATTTTTAGCAGTTAAGTAGGGATTTCCCACTAAACCACAATAAGCCAAAATGTAACATGTTTCACCACAATAAGCAAACATGTAAGATGTTTCCCAACGACAACCATGCAACATCAAATAAAACCGCATAAAAGTGGGGGGTTCAATGGAACCCCCCATTCAAACACAACACACGGGGTTCCAGCCCTAAGGAACCGGATGCCTGGGAACTCAGAAAACGCGCAAGTTCTGGCCTGCGGAAGGGGAGGGGACCCGACTCGAAACCCCAAACAGGCAGAGAGGACCCAAAGACCTCAAAGGGGACCCACCCCAAGATCCAAAAGGAGCCAAGCCGCCAGCTTTCGGAGCTGCGCGCCGCAGCCGGGGCCGTCCGTGGCGAAGAAGAAGCGCCTGAAGGCGCGAAGGCGCGAAGGCGCGAGGCTGGGGAGGCGAAAGGAGAAGCGGGGTTTTGGTTGGCTTTTGTATTTTTTTTGTTTTCGTTTGTGTTTTTTTTTGGGGGGGGAAAAATGGTTATAAGGTTGGTTCTAGGGTAGGGTATTTTCAGTTCAGGGTTTCAGGGGCAGGGTTCATTTTCAACAAGCAAACCATTTTGTTCAAAACACCAAGGTTGATTGTGGGGAATTTTCCTAAATTTTCTCAACATTTTTTTACATTTTTATCATTATGAAACAGTCTAAGATATTGTCATTTTCAATGTCAATGTTACAGACCAGTTTAAGGCTTTCTGGGATGTATCAACTATGAAACACTTGCTACACCATCCCGCAGTGATTTGAAGCAATTACCCTATCGCTCATCCCTTGCTCTTGCGCTGTTTGTCTTAATGGCGCCTAAGAAGCAATCAGTGCCAGAGAACAAGTCCTTGCCGGAAATTCAGGATGACCAAGAAGAACAAGAGTTGTCAGAGCTTCTTTCCTTGCTATGCATGGAGGATGCCATGGACAAAGTAGCTGGCTCCAGCACCGACACGGTTCAGGGCTACTTCAACAGGGTCAACCAAGAGGCAAAGAAAATGATGGCTGCTCACAAGATGTTGAAACAGGAGCTTTCAACGCGTGAGAAGATGATCAAGAAAGCCATTGCCAAAGCCAAGTCAGAGGCAAATGCCACCATCAAGAAACAGGAGAAGGCAATGAAGCGGTTGGAGATGAAGAACATTACCGTCTTGTTCAATGGGCAGCGCTTTATGGTTCCTACTTGGGGCGCAATGACGGTGGGAATGCTCCGCAAGCACCTTGTGGTCATGTGGAACACCAACAACTCCGACCGTCCAATCGCCAATGTCAGGGCAACCAAGCTCGCCGTCCTACACAACATGGAGAAGCTCCATTTGAAGCCGAGGGCAAGCTTGGGGTCTTTCAAGCTGAGCGAGGACATGGTGCTTCACGTGTCCTTCATGGCAGATGAGGATGAGGATGCAGCGTCCTCTCTGATTAATGATGATGAGCAGTTTGAGGGCATGGATGGTGACTTGATTGACGATGAGCAGGACTCGGATGAGCAGTAGAAACAGTTATCTGTAAAGGCATGGTCTGTCAGTAGGTTACGGATTGAAATCCTCTCCACTTAAATGTTCTTGTCTTCAATTTCACAGCTGTGTGTTGAGAGAATGCCTACCTGCTGACGTGTGTGCCATGTATCGCTGTCATCCTGATGGCGTTGTGAAGTCGGATAAGGGGGGAAACCAGCTTTGGATGAAAAGAAGCATTGCTTGTGCCTATGCCTTCACCCTGCGCTCTGCTTCAAGTTTCACTTGCTTTTACCGTAGCCATTTGTGCTGACAGTTTTGTTAGTGCCTCCTTTCTCCGGATTTGACACCATGGTCAAGCGGGTCATGAAATTCCACCTCAAACGTGAGGATGCAGTTGCTTCTCTCGTGAAGCGGTCGTGGGAGAAGATTGAGTCAAAGATTGACACCTACGAGGTTGCCGGTCCGCCTCATCCTTCACTTGAAGTTGTCCTACGCCCCTTCATTCAGAAGATGGACAACATCAAATCACGCCTTCTTCAAGGACAGGAGGTAGTCAAGCAGGGCATCCAATCAATGACGGATGAACAACTCGCATTGATGAGAGGGATTTTTGACCCTACTTCTCGCAAATCCACGGAGGAGAAGGTGCTGTTGTCCAAGAACGTGGTTTTCCCTGAACTTGACTTGCTGGATACATTCAAGGAGCAAATCAGCAAATGCCAAGCAGATATCACCAAGGTCTATGTAGAAGCCCTTGCTACGAACTACCACCAAATCAAGAATGGGGAGGTCGCGTTTCACAACAGTGCCCTTTTTGCTGATATTTCAAATGCAATCTCATTCAGAGAAGGCCTAAGACGAGGCACTGAAAATACACCGGAGGCAGAGCCCCCCGATGACGCTAATAGGTGCGTCATGATGTGACCGCAACATCAAAAACACTCTGTTTGTTAGGTTGAAAACAGACTGTTTGAGCAAACCGTTTTCCAAAACACTCTGTTTTGAAAAGCCATTTTTCAAAACACTCTGTTTGCTATGTTGCCGTCACTCTGTTTGCTATGTTGCCGTCAGGGCAAAACACAGGTCTAAAAATGACCTTGGGGTCAGATGTGAAATATCATCTTTGTTCCAGCACGTTGATTGTGCTATGGATACATACATGTCGCTTTTGAGGGGTTGGTCTTGGAAAAAGACATCGCTGACCGGCAGGGTTCTGACTATTTTTGCTTAACCCCTGCCTTAACAAGGTGCTTACTCCGGAAAGATACCAAACATGTTTCCGCCGCCCCTTCCCTTTTAAAGGCATCTTTCCAATGGAGTATCGCACCAAACACCCCCTACGAAGGCAATAGGTGCGTAGGAAACACACAGGCAGGCGTCGGCGGTATTTGAACTGGAAAACCCCCACAAAAGCACTTTTGTCAGTCATCTAAGGTGGCGGGGAGCGAAAGGGTGCTCCAGAGTAAGTATACCCGTCAATACCTTAGGCGACTGTCGTGCCATTTTTATTTACAAGGCTTCGCCATCCGCTTTATGATGATACTGGATGATGCCCTTTATGATGCTGGTTGATGCTACACATCAACAACCTCAACAACCCCTCCAACCCTGCGTCCGTCCTGACCTTTCAGAAGGCACCTCCCTCGACGACTTCAAGGCGTGGTTGTTTTTTCATATAAAATAATAAAATAAATAAGGTTAAACTCTCGACAATTTTCCATCTTGATGTTTGAGACCAACCCCAAAATTAAGGGCATCTTTCCAGAAAACCTGACATTACCACTTTTCCAAACCCAACAAAACAAGGGCAACATCCACCATTTCACAACTCCCCCAAAATCAACAATCACATCAACTTCATCAGTTTCAGTTTCAAACTCATCCCCAAACCCACATTTCAACGTTGAACCCAACCCCACAAAAACCAGACCCACTAACACAAACCCCCACCCAAATATACTTAAAGAGAAAATACCATATATAGTATAGAGAAATGGCAGGGGAATACAGCACGGGTTCAATAATTGAATATTTAATATCCAATAATGAAGGTCAAATAAAAACAGGGAAGAATAACAAACCATTGAAAAAACTAATCATCAACAACAAAGAATACTATTACAACAAAGACAAACCATTATCCACATCACTTCAAAACAAACTCAATCAAGTCAGCAACACACAAGGTTTCAAACGATTTCATCTTCTAAAAAAAGCATCAAACACAATGAGAGGCATTAAAACAATCCAGAAATACAGATTAAAAATAGGAGCAAAAACATCAGAGACATTTTCAGCATTGAAAGGGTACGCCAACACATATTCAATATCCAACATACCATTCAAGGGATACAAAGGATTAACATATCTTTTATGGCAAGAAAAGAAACTAACAGAGTTTTTACAACAAGCAAAGTCAATGAAACTACTGATTGATGTTGAGGTTATTTTTGATAAACTTAGACAGCAAGAAGAGGATGATGGAGAAGATGAACCAATTGAGGAAAATATACAAATAAAACACAATATGAGAAGCAGGAGATATAACATTCTAAATGTAGGAGACTTGAAAAAAGCATTGGAAAATATACCTAAAGATATTGAATTACAAATTGAAAACTCACCTTTGAAACATTCAGGATTGAAGATTAATAAGATTAACAAAATCACCATCCACTACGACAAATACAATCCGAACAGAGCAGGAAGATATATGGAACTACCAGAATGGATTTCAAAGAAAAAAGCATGTATCAACATTCAAAATGATGATGAATTATGTTTTAAATATTGTGTTTTATGTAAATTTTATGAAGTCTTCAAGAAAGACCATCCACAACATATGAGACACTACAAGAAATTAATAACTACTGAAAGTCTAATTCAATGGGATGGTGTAAATTTTCCAGCATCCAATGATGACATAGACCATTTTGAAGAAATCAATAACAAATCTATATCAGTTAATGTTTATGTTGAAGATGAGAACCAAACCATCAGAGCAGACAGAATAACAAAAATTGAAAGACCATCTTGTCATATTAACTTATTGCGGATTGAACAAAATAATAACGAACACTATGTTTTAATAAAAGATTTTAGTAGATTAGCAGGAAGACAAACAAACAAAACAACTAATAAAATGTTTTTGTAGTTTTTGTCAGCACGGTTTCAAGTCAGAAAAACTTTTAAATTCTCACTTAATAAAAGGTTGTATGGCAAATGACATTCAACAAACAAAAATGCCAGAAGAAGGAACATCAATGAAGTTTGAAAAGCATTTTAAGAAACTGAAAGCACCATTTGTTATTTATGGTGATTTTGAATGTTTAACAACAGAAACATCAGATGGAATAAAGGGAACATACCAAAATCATAAACCCAGCGGTTATATGCTTAACCTTGTTAATGCTTACAGTGGAGAAATGAAACCATTTTTATATAGAGGCGAAGATTGTATGGATAAATTTTGTGATACATTAAACAATATTAGAGACGATGTAATGAAACAAATGAAAAATCCAAAAGATATGATTATGTCAGATTTAGATGAAATTAAACATTTAGAAGCTAAAAAGTGTTTCTTATGCAATGGCGCTTTTGACAACAGAGTAGAAGCGAAAAAGAAAGTTGCTGACCATTGCCACTTTACTGGTTTATACAGAGGAGCGGCACATATGAAATGCAATATAGACTATTGTTTTAAAAAATATCATATACCAGTATTCTTTCACAATCTTAAAAACTATGATGCTCATCTCATAATCTCAAATCTTGAAAAGTTAAACACAAAGAAAGAACAAATACCAGTAATAGCACAGAACAGTGAGAAGTTTATTACATTTTCATTAAACAGACTTGAATTTAAGGATAGTTTCAGTTTCTTGTCATCATCATTAGATAAACTTGTTAAATTAACAAAATATGAAGAGAATAAATTGAGGGACAACTGGCAGGATCATTTCAAATATAGTTTCAAAGGCAAATACATTAAAAATGAAAAAGATTTATTTTTACTGACAGAAAAGGGAGTTTATCCTTATGATTATTGTAATGACTTCAATAAATTTAATGACACTGAACTACCAGAAAAGAAACATTTTTATAGTAGATTAAGTGAAGAAGATATAAGCAATGCTGACTATGAAAGAGCAAAACTAATATGGAAGCACTTTAACATCAAAAACCTTGGTGAATATCATGATTTATATTTAGAAACCGATGTATTATTATTAACAGATGTATATGAGAATTTCAGAAAACAATGTTTAACTGATTATGAATTAGACCCCGCCCATTACTACACTTTGCCTAACTTTGCTTGGGACGCGATGCTATTAAAAACAGGAATTGAACTTGAACTTTTACATGATGAAGAAGTTTATAAAATGATAGAGCAAGGACTAAGAGGCGGTATGTGTCAGGTTTCAATGAGAAAAGCAACTGCTAATAATAAGTATATGGGAGATACTTATGATGAAACAAAGCCATCGTCCTACATCAATTATTTAGATGCTAATAACCTTTATGGATTAGCAATGTGTAAAAAACTACCATACAAAAATATTAAATTTGTTAAAGATAATTTTACAGAAGAAGACATTAAATATTACAATAGTGATTACAGTAGCAAAGGATATATTTTAGATGTTGATTTAGAATATCCGAAAGAATGCCACGACAAACATACTGATTACCCATTAGCACCAGAAATTATGAGTGTATCAGCAGATATGCTTAGTGATTATCAGAAAGAAACCTACAAAGCATATCATTTTAATCATGCTCCAAAAGATGAGAAAACAAACAAGTTGATACTAAATGTTATGGATAAACAAAATTATGTTTTACATATTGACATTTTAAAATTCTATTTGAAACAAGGACTTAAAATCAAGAAAATAAACAGAGTAATAGAATTTAGACACAAGCAATGGTTGAAACCGTGGATTGACTTTAACACAGAGAAGCGAAAGAACGCTACAAGCGACTTTTCAAAAGATATGTACAAATTAATGAACAACGCTGTATACGGC